ATGGCCAGTGAGGACGGTGATTCTTTTTGAGATAATGAAAATATTCTGGGCTGGGCACAGTGGCTCACGCCTATAATCCCAGCACTTTGGGAAGCTGAGGTGGGTGGATCACCTGAGGTCAGGAGTTCAAGACCAGTCTGACCAACGTGGGGAAACCCCGTCTCTACTGAAAATGCAAGAATTAGCCCGGCATGGTGGTACACATCTGTAATCCCAGCCACTTGGCAGGCTGAGGCAAGAGAATCGTTTGAACCCGGGAGGCGGACGTTGTAGTGAGCCGAGATTGAGCCACTGCACTCCATCCTGGGTGGCAGAGTGAGACTCGGTCTCAAACAAAAGAAAAGAAAAAAAGAAAATTTTGTAGAATTAGATGTTGCACACGTTATGAATATACTAAAATCCACTGAATTGCATAGTTTAATAGAACGAATTTTATAGTACGTGATTTATGTCTCAATTTTAAAAATAGGGATGTTAAAAAAAAAACAGCCCACAGCTCTTGGCACACCCTAAGTACTAAATACATTGTGGCTATTATTATTATAATACAGCACCCAGAGACATGAAAGTGACATTCGTTCCTTTTATTAGGTATTTATTCATTTCATTGAATAATTAGCACTGACTGTAATCCTCATAAAATCCTGTGAAATAGGTACAATTGTTCTCCCCATTTTACAGATGGGGAAATAAAGGCTCAAAGAAGGTATGTTTCTTTCTCAGGGCCTCACAGTATGTAAATTACAATTGCACAAAAGTTGCAGCTTCTCAAAGAGCCTGGTCCTAAATTCTCTTCCTTATCTACAGTGCTATGAGACCACTTAACTACTGGGCGATTAAGAATTAGGCTGGATGCCGTGCAGAAGCTGTGGAGTTTGATTAGTCTCATTTGTCTATTTTGGCTTTTGTTGCCATTGCTTTTGGTGTTTTAGTCATGAAGTCCTTGCCTACGCCTATGTCCTGGATGGTTTTGCCTAGATTTTCTTCTAGGGTTTTTATGGTGTTAGGTCTTATGTTTAAGTCGTTAATCCATCTGGAGTTAATTTTAGTGTAAGGTGTCAGGAAGGGGTCCAGTTTCTGCTTTCTGCACATGGCTAGCCAGTTTTCCCAACACCATTTATTAAACAGGGAATCTTTTCCCCATTGCTTGTTTTTGTCAGGTTTGTCAAAGATCAGATGGTTGTAGATATGTTGTGTTGCCTCCGAGGCCTCTGTTCTGTTCCATTGGTCTATATCTCTGTTTTGGTACCAGTACCATGCTGTTTTGATTACTGTAGCCTTGTAGTATAGTTTGAAGTCCGGTAGTGTGATGCCTCCAGCTTTGTTCTTTTTGCTTAGAATTGACTTGGCTATGCGGGCTCTCTTTTGGTTCCATATGAAATTTAAGGTATTTTTTTTCCCAGTTCTGTGAAGAAGGTCATTGGTAGCTTGATGGGGATAGTGTTGAATCTGTAAATTACTTTGGGAAGTATGGCCATTTTCACAATATTGATTCTTCCTAACCATGAACATGGAATGTTTCTCCATCTGTTTGTGTCCTCTCTTATTTCACTGAGCAGTGGCTTGTAGTTCTCTTTGAAGAGGTCCTTTACGTTCCTTGTTAGTTGTATTTCTAGGTATTTTATTCTCTTTGTAGCAATTGTGAATGGCAGTTGGTTCTTGATTTGGCTCTCTTTAAGTCTGTTATTGGTGTACAGGAATGCTTGTGATTTTTGCACATTGATTTTGTATCCTGAGACTTTGCTGAAGTTGCTTATCAGTTTCAGGAGATTTGGGGCTGAGACGATGGGGTCTGCTAGATATACAATCATGTCATCTGCAAATAGAGACAATTTGATTTCCTCCTTTCCTATTTGAATACCCTTTATTTCTTTTTCTTGCCTGATTGCTCTGGCTAGAACTTCCAGTACTATATTGAATAGGAGTGGTGAGAGAGGGCATCTTTGTCTAGTGCCAGATTCCAAAGTGAATGCTTCCAGTTTTTGCCCATTCAGTATGGTATTGGCTGTTCGTTTGTCATAAATAGCTTTTATTGTTTTGAGATACGTTTCGTCAATACCTAGTTTATTGAGGGTTTTTAGCATAAAGGCTGTTGAATTTTGTCAAAGGCCTTCTCTGCATCAGTTGAGATAATCATGTGGTTTTCAAAAGAAACAGTCATTAGAGTGAATCAGCAACCAACAGAATGGGGAAAAAATGTCTGCAGTTTACGCATCTGACAAAGGGATGATATCCAGAATTTACAAAGAACTGGAACAGATTTACGAGAAAAAAACAAGCACATTCAAAAGTGGGAAAAGGATATGAACAGATGCTTTACTAAAGAAGACATACATGAGGCCAACAAACATATGAAAAAATGCTCATCATCACTGGTCATCAGAGAAATGCAAATCAAAACTACATTGAGATACCATCTCATGCCTGTCAGAATGGCGATCATTAAAAAATCTGGAGACAACAGATGCTGGAGAGGATGTGGAGAAATAGGAACACTTTTACACTGTTGGTGGGAGTGCAAATTAGTTCAACCATTGTGGAAGACAGTGTGGTGATTCCTCAAGGACCTAGAAATAGAAATTCCATTTGACCTAGCAATCCCATTACTGGGTATATATCCAAAGGATTATAAATCGTTCCACCATAAGGACACATGCACACGAATGTTCATTGCAGCACAGTTTACAATAGCAAAGATCTGGAACCAACCCAAATGCCCATCGATGATAGACTGAACAGCGAAAATGTGGCACATATACACCATGGAATATTATACAGCCATCAAAAACGATGAGTTCATGTTCTTTGCAGGGACATGGATGAACCTGGAAACCATAATTCTCAGCAAACTGACACAAGAGCAGAAAATCAAACACCACATGTTCTCACTCATAGGCAGGTGTTGAACAATGAGAACACATGGACACAGGGAGGGGAGCACCACACACTGGGATCTGTTGGGGGGAAATAGGGGAAGGACAGTGGGGGGTGGGGAGTTGGGGAGAGAGAGCATGGGGAGAAATGCCAGATACAGGTGAAGGGGAGGAAGGCAGCAAATCACACTGCCACGTGTGTACCTATGCAACAATCTTGCATGTTCTTCACATGTAACCCAAAACCTAAAATAAAATAAAATAAAATAAGAATTAGGCTGGATGTCGTGGCTCACGTCTGTAATCCCAGCACTTTGGGAGGCCGAGGTGGGCGGCTTGCCTGAGGTCAGGAGTTCGAGACCAGCCTGGTCAACATGGTGAAACTCCATCTCTGCTAAAAATAGAGATTGGGATTTCACCGTGTTTCCCAGGTTGGTCTAGAACTCCTGAGCTCAGGCAACCCACCCACCTCAGCTTCCCAAAGTGCTAGGATTGCAGGTTTGATCCACCACACCCAGCCAACTTTTGTATTTTTAGTAGAGATGGAGTTTCACTGTGTTGGCTGAGCTGGTCTTCTGACCTCAGGTGATCCACCTGCCTCGGCCCCCAAAGCGCTGGGATTATAGCCACCATGCCCGGCCATCACCTGAAGTTTCATTCACTCATGTGTCTGGTGATTGTGTGGGGAGGAATCCAACTACTGGAGCTCTTCTGGTGTCTCTATCTCCCTGTGGCCTCTACACATGGTTTCTCCAACATGGTGGCTTCAAGCATAGCCAGTCTTCTTGCGTGGTGGCCTAGGGTCCCAACGTCTTGTGCTACGAGACAGAGAAAGGTGGAAGCCACAGTTCCTTTTATGACCTAACCTCAGAAGTCACACGGTATCATTTCTACTTCGTGCTGTTTGTCAAAAGGGTATTGTATCATCTTTCCTTGTCTGCAAGGGCAAGGTCAACTCATGACTTTCACGTCCACATTTCAGCCCACAGGAAGAGGAAAGGGAGCAAGCTTTCCTTCAGTGGTTTCTGAAAGGACTGACCTGGAAGTAGTAGATGTCATTTACATTCTTATCTCATTGGCCAGAGCAGGTCACAAGGCCACAATGAGTTGCAATGAAGGCTGGGAAATGTAGTCTTTCATTGGGTAAGCTGTGTGCCCAGCTCAAACTTGGGAGATAGTATTTCTACAGGAAAAGGGGCTGGGCCCAGTGGTTCATACCTGTAATCTCAACACTGGGAGGCCATGGTGGGAGGATTGATTGAGACCAGGAGTTTGAGACCAGCCTGGGCAACATAGTGAGACCCCCTTCTCTAAGAAAAATAAATTTAAAAAAATTAGCCAGGTGGGGTGGTGGGTGTCTGTAGTGCCAGCTACTCAGGAGGCTGAGGCAGAAGGATCCTCTGGGCTCAGCTATTTGAGGCTGCAATAAGCTTTGATCACACCACTGCACTCCAGCCTGGCAGCAGAGCAAGCCCCTGCCTCTAAAATAAATAAACACAAGAAACAAAAGAGAAGAAAGAGAATATATATGGAAGTTTAGTGGATAGTCTTTGCCACACTCATTGAATGAATGAATGAACCAATAACGGATTAAGTAATTGATCTATGGCCAACCATAGATCAATTTCAGCTGATGGTCAAGATCAGCTGAAGTGGCCAGGCACAGTGGCCAATGCCTATAATCCCAGAACTTTGGGAGGCCAAGGCAGGCGGATCACCTGAGGTCAGTAGTTCAAGACCAGCCATGGCCAATGTGGCGAAACCCCATCTCTACCAAAAATATAAAAAATTCTCCAGGTGTGGTGATGTGTGCCTGTAATCCCAGCTACTTGGGAGGCTGAGGCAGGAGAATTGCTTCAACCTGGGAGGTGGAGGCTGCAGTGAGCTGAAATGGTGCCTCTGCACTCCAGCCTGGGTGACAGAGGGATCCTCCATATCTTAAAAAAAAAAAAAAAAAAAAATTGGCTGGAAAGTTGACAGGTGAGTGATTGACACATCCTGGGTTGGTGAATTGCTTGAAATGCAGCAAGTGACGGACTGGCTGGTGACTGAGGGTCTGGATGGAGGGACAGCCTCCTCTGCCTCCGCTATCTGACAAGCTCCTTCCTATGGCTCTCTCTGTTCCAGTTTACCAATGTCCCCTTCTTCATCTTCGGGCCACTGATGATGTTCCTGATGCACCCCTACGCCCAGAGGCGCTCCCGCTACATCTACATTGTCTGGGTCCTCTTCATGGTCATAGGTAGGGAGGTGTGGTTCAGGTCTGTGACATTGGGGAGACAGTGGGGGTGCAGGAGGTGGCAGCCCCCACTGACTGCCTGCCCTTGCCACTGCAGGCCTGTTCTCCATGTACTTCCACATGACGCTCAGCTTCCTGGGCCAGCTGCTGGATGAGATTGCCATCCTGTGGTTCCTGGGCAGTGCCTATGGCATATGGATGCCCCGCTGCTACTTCCCGTCCTTCCTGGGGGGCAACAGGTGGGTCAGGGCCTGGCTGTCTGCACAGGGTGGGGTCTGGGTCTTCTGTTGACTCTGTCTGAGCTCACCTGAGTCCCCTGGGTTTCCTCTCCTGAGCCCTTTTGGGACCCTTGGAATTCATCCCCTGACTACTTTTGGTTTTCTTCTGACCCAGCTGGACTCATGTGGGCTTCTAGAGAGCTCTCCCCTGAGCTCACTGGTTTCTTGGACTCCCTCCCCTGATCCCACCTAGACAACCTGGGACGTTCTTGAGACTGTTGGAGCCACCAGGAGTTCCAGGAACTCATGTCTCTGCTTACCTGGGCCCAAGGGACTCATCCCTGAGCCTCTCACCTGGGGTCCCTGGAAGCTTTCATCTGAACCTCTTAGACTCCCTCAGCCCCTCTCTTGATCTAACTGATCCCCACTCTTCTTGACCCCTGTAAAAGCCTCTTCTTCTTTTTCTTCTTTTTTTTTTTAAGGCAGAATCTTGATCTGTCACCCAGGCTGGAGCGCAGTGGTGCCATCTCAGCTCACTGCAGCCTCTGCCTTCAGGATTCAAGTGATTCTCCTGACTCAACCTCCTGAGTAGCTGGGATGACAGGCATGCACCACTATACCTGACTAATTTTTGTATTTTTAGTGCAGGCAGTTTCACCATGTTGGCCAGGCTAGTCTTGAACTTCTGACCTCAAGTGATCCACCTGCCTTGGCCTCCCAAAGTGCTGGGATTACCAGCATGTGAAATTCTCTTCTAACCAGGCTTAACCCACTTGAGCCCTCCAGCACCCTCCAGCCTACCCAATTGTCCTCTGAGACCCCTGGAATCTTTCCTTACTCCCTACTGGGTCCTGGAGAGACACTGTCCAACATCTCTTCAATTCACCTAGACCCAGGGATCCCTCCTCTCAGACCAGCTGAGCTCCCCTGTATTCCTTGCCTGACCTCATTTGGGCCCTGGAAACCATCACACTCTCCTTGCGCTGCTGGGACCCTCTCTTCATCCTACTCAGTCCTCCCTGGGTTAGACCCTGCCTGGGCTCACCTGGGCTCCCTGAGACCTTCTGCTGAGTCCACCTGGGAACCTCAGGACCCTTTTCTTCTTTTCTTTATTTTTTCTTTTCTTGAGACAAGGTCTTTCTCTGTCCCCCAGGCTGGAATGCAGTGGTACAATCCTGGCCATGGCAACCTCAAATTCCCAGGCTCAAACGATCCCTGCCTCAGTCTCCTTAGTAGCTGAGATTACAGGCACATGCCGCCACACCCAGCTAATTTTTTGTATTTTTGGTAGAGACGGGGCTTTGCCGTGTTGCCCAGGCTGGTCTTGAATGCCTGAGCACAAGTGATCCTCCTGTCTCAGCCTCCCAAGGTGCTGGGATTACAGGCACGTGCCTGGCTAGGACCCTTCTCTTTTTTGTGTTTTTTAAAACAGAGTCTCACTCTGTCGCCCAGGCTGGAGTGCTGTGGCATGATCTTGGCCCACTGAAACTCCCACCTCCTGGGTTCAAGTGATTCTCATGCTTCAGCCTACCGAATAGCTGGGATTATAGGCATTTGCAACCATGCCTGGCTCAATTTTGTATTTTTAATAAAAATGGGGTTTCACCAGCAGGCAAGGTGGCTCATATCTGTAATCCCAGCACTTTGGGAGGCCAAGGTGAGTGAATCACATGGTCAGGAGTTCAGGACCAGCCTAGTCAAGATGGTGAAACACCGTCTCTACTAAAAATATAAAAATTAGCCAGGTGTGATGGCGGTTGCCTGTAATCCCAGCTACTTAGGAGGCTGAGGGAGAGAATTGCTTAAGCCCAGGAAGTGGAGGTTGCAGTGAGCTGAGATCATGCCACTGCATTCCAGCCTGGGTGACAGAGCAAGACTCTGTCTCAAAAAGAGAAAAAGAAATGAAAAATAGGGTTTCTATTTTTGCCAGGCTGTTGGCCAGGCAAACATTTTGGCCAGGCTGGTCTTGAACTCCTGGCCTCAGGTAATCCGCCTGACTCAGCCTTCCAAAGTGCTGAGATTACAGACATGAGCCACTGCACCTGGCCTGGCTAGGACTCTTTTCTGAGCCTAGTTGGGCTCCCTAGAATCCTTTCCTTTCCTCACCCACCTGGGCCACGAGATCTCCAGGTAGGCCTGCCTATAATCCCCAGACCTCCCTTCCGCTTGCAGCTGACGCCCTTCCTCCACAGGTCCCAGTTCATCTGCCTGGTCTTCATCACCACCGCGGTCAGCACCCTTCTGTCCTTCCTACGGCCCACGGTCAACGCCTACGCCCTCAACAGCATTGGCCTGCACGTTCTCTACATTGTGTGCCGGGAGTACAGGAAGTAAGTGAAGGTTGAAGGTGTCTGGGCAAGGGGCTCCCCTCCCCCTCCTAGCACCCCTGACTCCAGGCTTGCAGAGGGGACGTCCCTTCCCCAAGATCACCCACTAACAAGTGGCAGGGCCGGGATTTGAACCTGACTGCTGATCTTGTCCTTTTTTTTTTTTAAATTTGAGACGGAGTCTCGCTTGTTGCACAGGCTGGAGTGCCAGGGCGTGATCTTGGCTCACTGCATCCTCCACCTCCTGGACTCAAGCAGTCCTCCTACCCCAGCCTCCCAAGTAGCTGGGACTAGAGGCATATGTCATCACACCAGGATAATTTTTGTATTTTTCTTATTTTTCTTTCTTTCTTTCTTTCTTTTTTTTTTTTTTTTTTTTTTTTTTTTTTTTTTTTTTGAGGAGGAGTTTCACTCTTGTTACCCAGGCTGGAGTGCAATGGCGCGATCTCGGCTCACTGCAACCTCCGCCTCCTGGGTTCAGGCAATTCTCCTGCCTCAGCCTCCTGAGTAGCTGGGATTACAGGCACACGCCACCATGCCCAGCTAATTTTTGTATTTTTAGTAGAGACGGGGTTTCACCATGTTGACCAGGATGGTCTCGATCTCTTGACCTCGTGATCCACCCACCTTGACCTCCCAAAGTGCTGGGATTACAGGCTTGAGCCACCGCGCCCGGCCTCTTTTTTTTTTTTTTTTTTTTTTTTTTGAGACTGAGTCTCACTCTGTCACCAGGCTGGAGTACAGTGGCACAATCTTGACTCACTACAACCTCTGCCTCCCAGGTTCAAGCAATTCTTCTGCCTCAGCCTCCAGAGTAACTGGGACTACAGGTGTGTACTGCCACGCCCAGCTAATTTTTGTATTTTTAGTAGAGATGGGGGATTTCACCATGTTGGCCAGAATGGCCTCAATCTCCTAACCTGGTGATCCACCCACCTCAGCCTCCCAAAGTGCTGGGATTACAGGCATGAGCCACCGTGCCCAGCAAATTTTTGTATTTTTCTTTGTGGAAACAGGGTTTCAGCCAGGCGCGGTGGCTTAAGCCTGTAATCCCAGCACTTTGGGAATCCAAGGTGGGCAGATCACGAGGTTAAGAGATTGAGACCATCCTGGCCAACATGCTGAAATCCCGTCTCTACTAAAAATACAAAAAAAAAAAAATTAGCTGGGCATGGTGGCATGCGCCTGTAGTCCCAGCTACCTCAGAGGCTGAGGCAGGAGAATTGCTTGAACCCTGGAGGCGGAGGTTGCAGTGAGCTGAGATTGTGCCACCGCACTCCAACCTGGCACCTGGCAACAGAACAAGACTCTGTCTCAAAAAGAAAAGAAAAGAAAAGAAAAACAGGGTTTTGTCATGTTGCCCAAGCTGGTCTTGAACTCCAGGGCTCAAGCGTTCCACCCACCTCAGCCTCCCAAACTGCTTGATTACAGGTGTGAGCCACCGTGCCTGGCTGCATTTTGATGTTTAAACTGTTCCATTTTAGGCTGCAGGCAAAGCCTGTGATTTTAACCATGAAGAACTTGTCTCATTCGTCTCTGTTACACTCTTTCTCAAAGGACACCCGGTTAGCTCTGCTGTCAAGGAAAGACAGATGCTGGTCTTGAGTTGTACCAAGCTCAAGCACATTGTCTGCAATCTGGAGAATGTCCCCTCTCCCCATCACATACACACATACACACACACACACACACACACACACACCCCACACATGTCCTGTAGCCAAACCGAAGTTTTCATGCCCTGACCCACAAGTGCACACATACCTCTACCCCAAAACATACAAACACGAAAGGGCTTGTTGGTTAAGAATAAAGATCATGCAATCAGACAAACTGAGTTTAGATACCAGCTCTGCCACGTACCAGCGCTGTAACCATGGGGCGGGGTGACGCATAGTATAATCACCTGTGCCTCAGTTTACTTATCTACAAGGTTCTTGTGGGGACTGAGTTGATATCTGAAGGTGTTTTATTATTTATTTAAATTTTTGTTTGTTTTGAAATGGAGTCTCACTCTGTCCCCCAGGCTGGAGTACAGTGGTGTGATCTCGGCTCACTGCCACCACCGCCTCCTGCGTTCAAGCGATTCTCTTGCCTCAGCCTTCCAAGTAGCTGGGATTACAGGTGCCCACTACCATGCCCAGCTAATTTTGTTTTTGCTTTGTTTTGTATTTTTAGTAGCGATGGGGTTTCACTATGTTGGTCAGGCTGGTCTTGAACTTCTGACCTGAAGTGATCCGCCTTGGCCTCCCAAAGTGCTGGGGTTACAGGTGTGATCCACCTCGCCCAGCCTATTATTGCTTTTTAAGACAAGGTCTTACCCTGTCACTCAGGCTGGAGTGCACTGGTGCAATCAGGGCCCACTGCATTCTTGCACTCCTGGGCTCAAATGATCCTCCTGCCTCAGCCCCCCAAGTAGCTGGAATTGCAGGCTTGTGCCATCATGCCTGGCCAATTTTAACATTTTTTTTTTGTAGAGATAGGGTTTTGCCCAGGTTGGTCTTGAGCTCCAGAGCTCCAGCAATCCTCCCAACCTCAGCCTCCCAAAATACTGGTGTTATAGGCATGAGCCACTGTGCCTGGCTTGAAGGACATTTGGAACTGCACCTGGTGTCCTGGCAATGCTCAGTGTTAGTTCTAAGCATGAGATTGGGCCCCCTCCGCTTGCACACTCCATTGCTGCTCTTTTGCTTCTTCCAGCCTCTGAGGCTGGCTCATCACTGTGGAAGAAGGAATTTCCCATTGGCCCCCTCAGGTGCTGCTCTCTGAGCCAGCCCTCAGTCCCCCCTTCTCTCTCTAGGACCAGCAATAAGGAGCTTCGGCACCTGATTGAGGTCTGTGTGGTTTTATGGGCTGGTGCTCTGGCCAGCTGGATCAGTGACCGTCTGCATTGCAGCTTCTGGCAGAGGATTCATTTCTTCTATCTGCACAGCATCTGGTAAGCACCCGCTCTGATGCTCGAGGGGAGAGGAGCATTCAGAGTCAGAGAATCTTAGATGCCAGAGCTCAGAGCAGAAGCCTGGGGGCTGGGGGTGAAGGAGCAGAGGGAAGGAGTGCCAGATACAGGGACCTGGCAGTAGGGGACTGCTGCAGTCAGGGGCCAGACCCAGAAGGTCTCTTTGGATGGTCAAGATCCATGAGGAATAAAGAGAGGGCCAGAGTGAGGCCCTGGGCGTCTTGTGCCCTCATCCCCTTCACTCTGCACTCCACAGGCACGTGCTCATCAGCATCACCTTCCCGTATGGCATGGTCACCATGGCCTTGGTGGACGCCAGCTATGAGATGCCAGGTGAAACCCTCAAAGTCCGCTACTGGCCTCGGGACCGTTGGCCTGTGGGGCTGCCCTATGTAGAAATCCGGGGTGATGACAAGAACTGTTGAGAACTGCCAGCCTCTTGACTATCCAGCCACCTGGGACTTGCCTGTGTCTTGAGAAGAGAGCCCCTATCAGGACTTGCACCTGACAGACACTCGTGGCTCCTTCCTCCGTTTCTCCTTCCATGTCCTCCTGGTCCTTCGCTGCCCTGCCTTGAGGCAGAGGCTGGACTTTGTGACATCTCTGAGCAGCAGACTGGTGACCATGGGGGGGCCGTCTCATGCGTCTCCCCTCCATGACCCGCCCCTGCCCTCTTTAATTTCCTTTCCTGTGTCCACAGCCTCCCGGTGACCATTGTCACATGAGCTGGTGGGGCTGAGTTCAGGTACTAGGATGACTGAAGGATATGGCTTCTAAATATTAGCTTCTAGGCTGGGCACAGTGGCTCATGCCTGTAATCCCAGCACTTTGGATGGCCAAGGTGGGTGGATCACGAGGTCAGGAGTTCGAGACCAGCCTGGCCAACATGATGAAACCCTGTCTCTACTAAAAATACAAAAATTAGCCAGGCATGGTGGGGGCATGCCTGTAATCTCAGCTACTCGGGAGGCTGGGGCAGGAGAATTGCCTGAACCTGGGAGGCAGAGGCTGCAGTGAGCTGAGATCGCACCACTGCACTCCAGCCGCGGCGACAGAGCAAGACTCCATCTCAAAAAATAATACTTAAATAAATACTAGCTTCTAAATATTGGTGGTCACTACCAGACTCCCTGATCTGTCTTTGGCCATTGCAATGTCACTGGTTCTTGAGGGGCACCCCAGAGGATGAAGAATGTGACTTCTGGCCAGGCGCGGTGGCTCATGCCTGTAATCCCAGCACTTTGGGAGGCTGAGGCGGGTGGATGACAAGGTCAAGAGATCGAGATCATCCTGGCCAACATGATGAAACCCCGTTTTCATGGTGGTTAAGAGCACAGGGCTTGGAGTCAGGCAGACCTAAGTTAGAATTCCTCCTCTACCATTTTCTAGTTGCACAATCTTGGGGAAGTGATTTTTCCTGCTTCTGAAGCTCAAGCGCATTGTCTGTAAAGTAGAAATAGTATTCCTTGTCTCGTGGGGGTTTTGTGTGGATAAAACAAATGAATGTTTGAAGTGCTTAGCATAGAGTCTGACAAACATCCAGCCATCCACTCACCCTTTAATTCACCTTCTCCATAATTTATTCATCCATTCATTGATTCATCTACCATTAATTTATCCATTTATCCATCCAGCCACCCTTTAATTCATCTACCCATTAATCTATCCACTTACCCATCCTTTAATTCATCCACATGTTAATTTATCCATCCACTCACCCATGCTTTAATTCATCTCTCCAATAATTTATCCACCCACCCATCCTTGAATTCATCTACCCATTAATTTATCCGTCTATCCACTCATCATCCACCCACCCTTTAATTCGTCCATCCATTAATTTATCCGTCCATCCATCCATCTACCCATCCTTTAATTTCCCCATTAGTTTACCCATCTACCCATCCTTTAATTCATCCACACGTTAATTTATTCATCCAGCCACCCATGCTTTAATTCATCTCTCCATTAGTTTATTCATCCATCCATCCTTTAATTCATCTGCCCATTAGTTTATCCATCTATCCATCCATCCATCCACCCACACTTTAATTCATCCACCCATTAATTTATCCATCTATCCATCCACTTACCAATCCTTTAGTTTATCTACACATTAGTTTATGCATCCACCGATCCTTAATTCATCCACACATTAATTTATTCATCCACCCACCCATGCTTTAATTCATCTCTCCATTGATTTATCCATCCACCCATTCTTTAAGTCATCTACCCATTAATTTATCCATCTTCCCATCCATTCACCCACACTCTAATTCATTTATCCATTAATTTATCCATTTACCCATCCTTTAATTCATCCACACATTAATTTGTCTACACACCCACCCATGCTTTATCTTTCCATTGATTTACCCATCTACTTCTCCTTCAATTCATCTATCCATTAATTTATCTATCTATCCATCCACCTACCCATCCTTTAATTTATCCATTAGTTTATTTATCTACCTATCATTTAATTCATCCACACATTAATTTCTCCATCCTTCCACCCATCCTTTTTTTAAATTCACATCAGAGGACACTTCAGTGCGACCACCCATCCTATAATTCACTCATCTATTACTTTATCCATTCATCAAGCCACCATTAATTCATCCATCCATCCATTCATCTACTGAACTCTCTGTTGAACTATCCATCTATCCATCCTTTAATTCGCCCAACTAGTAGTTTATGCAACAGTTCCTTCTTTCATCTGTTATCTTTTTTTTTTTTTTTTGAGACGGAGTTTCGCTCTTGTTACCCAGGCTGGAGTGCAATGGCGCGATCTCGGCTCACCGCAACCTCCGCCTCCTGGGTTCAGGCAATTCTCCTGCCTCAGCCTCCTGAGTAGCTGGGATTACAGGCACGTGCCACCATGCCCAGCTAATTTTTTGTATTTTTAGTAGAGACGGGGTTTCACCATGTTGACCAGGACGGTCTCGATCTCTCGACCTCGTGATCCACCCGCCTCGGCCTCCCAAAGTGCTGGGATTACAGGCTTGAGCCACCGTGCCCGGCCCATCTGTTATCTTTTTATCCACCTATTCATTCATTAATGTATCTATCCATCTGTTGAACTATCCATTGAACTATCCATTCATCTATCTACTTCTCTCTCCATGTATCCATCCATCCTGGTATCAATTTTCATCATCATCTATCATTTATTATCTTCTCATTCTTTCATTCTTCCATCTATTATCTATCACCTTACCCTACACCCATCCATCCATCCATCCATCCATCCATCCATCTGCCCACAGTTAGCCATTCATGTATCTATCTGAGTCATTCAACCATCCTTTCATTCATCTACTTTTCAACTACTCATTCATTCACCCATTCAACTCAAATACATATATTGGGCTCCTACTATTTATCAGACACTAGCCTCTGGAGATCCAAGATGGCAAAGACATGTAACATCCTTGCCCTAATGAAGGATACCAATATTAAACAAGTAAACACACACACACACACACACACACACACACACACACACACAGAACTTCCAGACATTCAGACATTGATGGGTGGCAAAAAAGATAAAACACAATAATATTCTGGAAGATGGTGGTTGTGGGAGCAGCCCTATCACATGGGTGGCCAGGGGAGTGCACTTTGCAGTTGAACCCTCAATGACGAGGAAACCAACCGTACCAAAAGCTGGGGCAAAGCCATATGGGCAAAGGGAATGGCAGGTGTGAAACTCCTGGGATGGGAATGAGCTTGCAAGCTGGGGTAACAGAAATGGCTGTTGGCCAGGCTCAGTGGCTTATGCCTGTAATCCCAACGCTTTGGGAGGCTGAGGCAGGAGGATCACTTGAGCCTAGGAGTTCGAGATCAGCAGAGGCAACATAGCAAAACCCCCTATCTATGAAATATTTTTTTTAAAAATGAGCTGGTTGTGGTGGCATGAGCCTGTAGTCCCAGCTACTTGGGAGGCTGAGGCGGAGGATGACTTGAGTCCCGGAAGTGGAGGTTGTACCACTGCCTTCCAGCCTGGACACATAGAAAGAGGTTCTTAACCTGGGGGCCTTGGATGGGTTTCCACATTTACAGACCACTTGACATTGTCTGCAAAAAACAGGTGTTTATACATACAACCTAGGCCCCTGAAGCGCATCACTTTAGACAGATGAGAATACTTTCATTTTATAGATGCGGCTCAGAGAGGACAAGTGACTTGCCTAAGGCCACACAGCATGGACTCGAACCCAGTCTGTTCTTCCCCAAAGCTCTTTGCACTGCAGTGAGTCAGTGGTAGGATTGAACCTGGATCCCTGGTCACCTTCTTCCTTTCTTGCTCTAGAAACCAGAGGTTTTTCACTTGTGCCCCAAGAGATGGATCATGGTGGTAGAAAGACGTGGGGTTGGGATGTCTATAAACTTATAAAATCATCTGCAAAATGTTCTATGTCTTGGTGTATTTGGGGGAGAGGAGCTGTGATTCTGTGAGATCCCCTAAAGAGGCGTTCGACTGCCCAAAGAGTTGAGAACCTCAGTTCAAAATCTTCTTGGGGAGGGTGGCCTGGCAGAGTGGCTCACACCTGTAATCCCAGCACTTTAGCAAGCTGAGGCGAGTGGATCACCTGAGCTAATGAGTTCCGAGACCAGCCTGGGCAACATGGTGAAACTCTGTCTACTAAAATACAAAAAATTAGCTGGGTGTGGTGTCGCATACCTGTGGTCCCAGCTACCTGGGAGTCTGAGGCAGGAGAATTACTTAAACCCAGTTGACGGAGGTTGCAGTGAGTGAAGATTGCACCACTGCACTCCAAACTGGGAGACAGAATAAAACTTTGTCTCAAAAAAAAAAAACAAAAAAAAAACGGGGTATGGTGGCTCATGCCTGTAATCCCAGCACTTTGGGAGGCCAGAGTGGACAGACCACCTGAGGTCAAGCATTTGAGACAAGACTGGTCAACATGGTGAAAGCTGTCTCTACTAAAAATACAAAAGATTAGCCAGGTGTGGTGGTGTGCACCTGTAATCCCAGCTATTCAGGAGGCTGAGGCAGGAGAATCACTTGAAGGTTGCAGTAAGCCAAGATCGCACCATTGCATTCAGCAAAACTCTGGGGGGTGGGGGGGGAAGGCTCCAGGCACACAATAAAGATGCTGAATATCATTGGTGGTTATTAGAGACAGGAAAATCATTGGTCAGGTGCAGTGGCTCACACCTGTAATCACAGTACTTTGGGAGGCTGAGGCAGGTGGATCACAAGGTCAGGAACTCAAGACCAGCCTGGCCAACATGGTAAAATGTCTCTACTAAAAATACAAAAATTAGGCTGGCATGGTGGTGAGCCCCTGTAATCCCAGCTACTCAGGAGGCTGAGGCAGGAGAATCACTTGAACTTGGGAGGCAGGAGGTTGCAGTGAGTTGAGATCATGCCATTGCACTCCAGCCTGGGGACAGAGCCCAGACTGTCTCAAAAAATGTATACTTATATATGTAGATTGCAATAGGTGGCTGTGTGTATACTTCTCTGGTGGGTAACAAACTGGGAGGTTACAGGGAACAGGCTGGAAGCCAAAGGGGATTCCAAAAAATAACCTAAAGAGGGCTGGAACGTCTACCAGGAGAAATAAAAAGAAACACTCAATGTTGTCCCCTTGGGTGCAAATAAACTAAACCACTAGAGGGCGGTAGAGACTTAATGTGTTCCCAGTAACAATTCGGTTACGGACCAAAAGCACGTCCAGAACATCCAAAATGTTAATTTCTTTGGAGTTCGAGACCAGCCTGGGCAACATAAGGAGACTCCATCTCTACAAAAAATTTAAAAGTTAGCTGGATATGGTGGCGCATGCCTGTGGTCTCGGCTACTGGGGAGGCTGAGGTGGGAGGATCACTTGAGCCCGGGAGGTTGAGGCTGCAGTGAGCTATGATTGTGCTACTACATTCCAGCCTGGGTGGCAGAGTGAGAGTCTGACTTTTAAAATCTAAAAAATGGAAGGGTACAAGTCCAGTTTGTCA